TGCTGCACTGTCCTGACATAGATGATTTTGGGGATGAGAAAGAACAAGTCTTTTCTGATGAAAATCCACCTTTTGTTTGCACATAACTTCCAATGCAACCATAGGCCCTATAGTGCAAGCATCTGTTATAAAGCGCCCGTTCAATTGTTCATGACTCAGGTGCGCAAATCAATATATTAGGTCTAGTTTGTTTAAGGATACGAAGTTAAACATGTCCTTCTCGTAAGAACCGACTCCTGTTCCTCCCTTAGTGGGAGTATCTGGTTCACACCTGCTGTCCCGAGGTCTGACTTCCCTACCTTTTTCACCAAGGTAAAGACTTTCACTGTTTCCTTCTTTAGTTGTCGACCAGATTACTTTTTCCCTGGTGACACTTCAACTGGGATTTGCTACCATGCTTGACATACGCATTGTTGCGCTCGAACCCTTATCGATTGCATGCACAAATTGACGACTTATCGTCATCCATCTTGGGTTTCCACTTGGTTACAGAAATCTGTTATAACAGCCAAGTAGATGGACGGATATAAGTCCTTGCAAGCAAAAGCAATCTCCAGTCGCGTACCCAGCGGCAGGCACTGTAATTCTGTCACTCCCATCAGTGTCCACCTATACCTTCAATTTGCAGGATATCCGATGCCTCAAGGTCCGAGACGCTCAGATTGCCTTGAGTGCACAACCTATCCCTGCAATGCCCTGCTAGTTTCGAGTAGTAGTTTTCTCCACAGGGGACGCCTTCGGTCCGAAAACAATTACATGCAACTATAATGCCATCTCTTGTTTATGTCCCATGCCCGTCGGCAGAAAACGTTTCTGTTGCGCTAGTGCTCTCACTAGAGTGGTCTGTATGTTCCAAGTGTTCCAGATGGTTGATAACATCCTAGTTGACAGTGAATTCCTGCAAAGTAAAAGGACTATTTTTGAACCATCCTTACATGTTGTAAAGAGATAGTAAGATCCATTTCTACCTGCCAACACTTCCTGGTCACAGTGTTTCGCCTTAGAGCAAATACCAATCATGTTGACCTTGTTCACTATCCTTTTTTACCCTGTTCAGGTAGAGGATGAGTTGACACCTGACCAGTGGGTCGGTGCTATTTCTGCGGGGAGACCCTCATCCACTTCACTGGATCAATCTGTTCCACCAGTTTATTGAGGAGAAAGACTTTGCCTCCCACTTGACTTCCCAGATGACGTCAAGCTTTTGGTTGACATCTGTTGAACAAACGTCGTAAAGCCATGTGCTTTACCAGTGAGAAGATGGTATACGAATCTATTGTGCCCATCGTATTCCAATTGAACCTGGTACTAGAACCTATCTACATACCTGCGAACAGAATGTCCTCATTCACAGTTGCTGCGCAGAAGGAATTTGATCAATCAAATGCGTGATGATGGAGTTATTGCACCTAGCAATTCCCTTGGAAGCACCCTTGATACTTAGTAGTCCTAAGAAGGATGTACTTGGAGCGTCCGTAATTGACTTTAGAAGTTAAACGGCAAAAACCATTCCAGATCGCTTTCCACTCCCTGTACTGTTATCATTTACGTAATATCGGAGATATCAAATCTTGTCAACCCGAGATTTGTTACAAGGGGTTTGCAAGTCCCTCTTCACGAGGACAGCCAAAGGCTAACTGCATTCTCCATCCTACAGGTCATTATCACTTCCTCCGTATGGCATTTGGATAACGATCTTCTTCCCCATCCTTCTCAAGCTCATACTAATATCTTTAGAGGTCTCCTCAGTAATGCACTTATGGTGTACTTAGATACGTAATCTTCATGTCTAAAACGTGGATACACCACCTTGATAAGACTGTGTAGTACTGTAACTTGAAGAACCAATTTAAAGATCAAACTGCAAAATGTCAATTTTTCAGATAGTCAATTAAAGTTCTTGTCCACGTAGTCACTCCTAGAGGGTTACGACTGACCAAAGTAAAGTAACATGCAGTACTAAAATTTTCCAACTCCCAAAACTCTGATGTGCGTAAATCCTTTGGTGGCTTAGCAGGTTTTTATAGATCTTTCATTTCCAATTTTTCTTCCATAACTGCTTCCCTCTAACTGAGTTGCTTAAGAAAGATGCCCTTTTGTTTGGACCTTCCGTCAAGAAAGAAGCATTCCAAACTCTAAAAGAAAAGCTACTTCTGCTCCAATTTGAAATTTCTCAGATTTATCTAAGCCCTTCTATATCTGACAACTGGATGCTAAGTTCAATTGGCATAACAGGTGCCGAACAACTCAGCAAGACCGATGGCAAGTACAGGACGCATTTGCATTTGCTAGCCGATCCTTACGAAGCTGAACGTAATTATACAGTAAACTGAGAAGAAGCTTTAGCCAATAGGTATGGTCTTTAAAGCACATTACCGCGAACTCCATTATTTATCATACTCTGTTCATGTCTTGACAGATCATGCTTCCACTGATACCCTTATTCCAGAACAAACAACCTACGGAAGGTCGCTAAATGGGACCTGACTATCAAGAGTCAACCCACCTTTGAGCATTTACCTGGCAAGTCAAATGTAGTCGCAGATGCCTTATCGCCATGTCGTTATAGTAACTCTGACCCTCCTTGAGCGTAGGGGTTGTAAAAGTATGCTCAACGAACAGATCCCTGTTTCTGGTGTGATTCGAATCCTGCTCCAGGAAGATCTTATTTCTGAATGTGAAGCCACCAGCACCGATCATTGGACTTTGTCATGACCAAGAATTACTGTATCGAACAGCCGAGTATGGGATTACTCCTAGAGAAGAGTATACCAGTTATAATTCCACAGTCACTAGTGAATGTACCTACAGCTATTCACGATGTACCAGGTGTTGCACACCCTGGTATTGGATCGTTTCAGTAAAACAACCAGATTGAAAACTTTTGGCCTCTGTATGGCAACAGATATTTCGAGTATGTTATGAAATTAGTGTCTGCCATGCAACATAAAGGCTATGCTATTTGGTCCTAATCCAATCCAAGTGTATACAACTACTAGCGAACCTTGGGAAAGAGTTGCGCTCGATATGTTTATAATTTCCAATGTTCCCTCCAAGGTAACAAACATCTGTGTGTTATGGTATAAAACCATTTTCAACCAGATATTGCAGTTTAGTTCCTATTGCAGTAAGACGCGAGACAGTAGCTAAAGCGGTTTTAAAGAACGCATATCTGCAGGCATACGCCACTTCCTAGTCCCTAGAACAGATAAAGGAGGTGAATTCTGTAATGAAAATTCTTGAAAATTTGTGTTACCTTGTACAATATACTCTAAATCAACCATTGTTTCCTCATCCATCCCAGCAGCAATGGGTTTGCGGAACGAACCATTAAGAAAGTACTTTATGTCTTGAGAGCCACTCTCAACCTACACCGAACAGTGAAACTTGGGATGAAGTTATACCCGATGAGCAGTGTGCTTAAATTCGCTTACAATGTTCCTATAGGTGACACTCCACATTATGCATTGTATGTAGATAAACGTTTGCCTTATGAGTTGTTATATTCCTAATTCTAATCCGAAACCAAATACCACCCTGATGATTTCATAGCAACTCGTACCAGCTTAGCTCAAAGTTTTAAGAGAATCCGTGAAACACTTCTATAAATCAACAGCTGAATTCAAACAAGATTCGCAAACACTCATCAAAGCATCCAAAATCAAGTAGGTCGTGAGAGTTATGCGATAATTTAACAAACGTCTAGCAATGCCAAAACTTGATCAAAATTTGTTGTCCTTATCGAGTAGTTGAACATATCAACTGGTAAAAGTATAAGGTTCGAGAGATTATACTGTCAGTACAAAAGAATCGCATTTGGATCATATGAAGTTAGTAGTTGATGATAATGACGTTCCAACCCAACTAATGTGACAGACTCATTGGACACATCTCCTGATCCTGTACTCTCATTTCCTGCTGATACTCAGACAGAACGAACAACCTGAATGTCGTTATTCCTACGTACAACGACAGGTAATCGAGAAATCCTCAATATCATTTGTAAAAATCCAATACAGATTTGGCCTCAAATACAGCATAAGTTAGCCAATGCTACAGAGTTGATCCTCCCAGAGATACAGACACCCTTCTGCATATGCAATCTCCCTAGCATAGGTTGGGTTAAATTAAAAAACATGTATAGATAATAATTACTGTATCAACATATCAGTATCAAGAATTTTTTTTTTGTGTTCATGTTCTCTCCAGCATTCTGAGAGTTAACGTCTAGAATTGTCGTGCACCGAATCTGCCTTTCTGTTAAACACACTTTCTTTGTATATATTCCTTCCTCAGAATCCGTAGATCACACGAATACAGATCGATCGAATCAAAATTTTTGTTTTTATCACTTGTACTCTCAATGTAGATTCGTTGTTCATTTGATGATTTTAGTTGTACATATAACCTGTATTACATAACAGTTTCAGTTTACGTAAGCTTTCATCACAATGTTCTACTATGTAGGTTATAATGTTTATTGTTGGGTAATTTGACATTGTATAAATCAGCCCAGGCCGTATACCTGCCATCTCCAGTTTTATTAGTTGTATGTCCCGGGACGACATACTTAGCGTCGCGAGCTCTCATAGTATAGTTACCTAGTCCTTCAGTGTAGTAACCAGTTTACGTATCCGGCCGTTGACTCAACACCAACCGTCTCGCCTGAGTCACGTATCTGAATTCATATCGTGCTGAACCTCATCAGTATCAAAGGCCCCCTCACACTGGGTACTGACTGGGCAGCCCCGGTTAGTCCAGTTTACGATAGGAACGAGTGAGATAGCCACGGCTGTAAGGGGTCCTCTCCACATATCAAGCAATTATACGTGTGAAAACACCTACTAGTATGGAGGTAAGTTAATCGATCCAAACTCCCACATGATATCACTACGAATGTGTGAAAGTCATTAATATCCTATTATACATATGATTTTTCTTAAAACATATTTATGCTCTCGGGTTTGAGCTCTTCAACACTGAGGCTTCTAATTTGACAGGTTCCGGCTGGTGGATGACATAGACGGCCAGTGGGGAGGAGTGTTGGCCAACGGTACCATCACGGGTATGGTCGGTATTGTGGCCAGACACGAGGCTGACGTGGCCATCGATGAGATAACCATCACAGGTAGTTAGTTTTTTTTAGTTTAATATGTTTATTATGCACCCCATACCCATCCTGTGGGCGGTAGTCAAAAGATTACAGAGGTACATAATTGGTCCAGGGACTGGACTCCAAAGTTTTGATAGCTGAGCAAGTTACAGAGGTAATGAACTCACAATTTACAAAGGTAATGAACTCACAATTTACAAAGGTAATGAACTCACAATTTACAAAGGTAATGAACTCCAGGTAGGTCTGGTCACAATCATGACAAGTTACAAAGGTATTTACAGATTACAGAGGTACGTAATGGGTCCAGGGACTGGGCCCCCAAAGTTTTGATAGCTGAACTAGGTACAAAGGTAATGAGCTCACAAGTTACTAAGGTAATGGATTCTGTAGAATGGTTACTTACGTTTATACATGGCTACAATCATGAACAAATTATAGAGTAATGAGCAATTCACACTTCCACACCCGGTCACAACTGTAATGAGTTATTGGTGCAAATATTGATTGTTGAGTCACACACACACACACACACACACACACACACACACACACACACACACACACACACACACACACACACACAAATCGGACGAGGATCAGGCAGGACTACAAAGAGACCTGGACAGGCTACAAGCCTGGTCCAGCAACTGGCTCCTTGAATTTAACCCTGCCAAATGCAAAGTCATGAAGATTGGGGAAGGGCAAAGAAGACCGCACACACAATATAGTTTAGATGGCCAAAGACTGCAAACCTCACTCAAGGAAAAAGATCTGGGGGTGAGTA